GTGTGTGTGTGTGTGTGTGTGTGTGTGTGTGTGTGTGTGTGTGTGTGCATCTTGCTCAGAGAAAACATTCTTAACTTTATCAGTACTGAGTTTCTTCCCAGTTTCATTCAGTGCACACATCCTTAACCTTTCAACTTCTCCAAAACTACCAGGATGAGAGGGTGAATTAAGGGTTAGGTTAGTTAAGAGGGTTAAGTTAGTGCTCACATTCAGCATATAAATTATATCAGAACCAAACCTATAAGAATTGTGCTGCTGTTATTCGGTGTATTGTTTTGCACTATTAGTGACTAGCACATATCTTAGATCTTTAAGTGTATCGTTGGGCATTAGTTTAGTGTATATCTTAGTGTATATCTTAAATCCTTATTTACTGTTTCTTTTTACACTTTATATTTTTGCTATTGTTGGATGTAACTGGGACCCTGTGTACACAATTTCGTTCCACCTCATGTGCCACATGCAATGTTAATGACAATAAAGAACCTTGAATCTTGAATCCTTGAATCCTTGAATATTAGATGCTTTTCAGTATTATTTGTTCAGCCAGCCTCAAAAACAATACATTTCTAAACTAAGAAAGTCCTTCAAACAGGAAATTTTAACGATTCATTTCACAGAGGATTTGAAGCACCTTGCAACATCATCACATTGTTTCAGTTGAATATCACCCATGCTTTCGCATATCTCAAAGATCGGGGTATACATTTTTTTTTTCCAATCTCAATTCATGTAAAAGGATAAGAGCCACGATCTTCACTCCAGCATCTTCTTCTTGTATGCTGTGGAAAACAAGCAGTCGTTGGATAGCAGGAACATACCGAGAGCTTAAGAGATTCTGAATGATTTCCCAAAAGTTAGTCAGGTAAACGTGCTCTTCCTCTTGTATATTTAAACAGTGATTTTGTCACTGGCTTGGGTGGGATTTAAAACAACTGTTGCATAAGTAGTGCAGAAATTTTCCCATGGTTGCAGTGTGTAGAAGAAGAACTGCAGTTTTCACTATCCTGAACAGACTCCAGGTGAACCGTCCATCAATGTAATCTCCGTGATCCGATATTGGAGTAGATGTGGTGGAACCCTGCTCTTCTTTTCCAGGGGTGCCCTCGATGACAGCCTTGGATAAGTCCTCCATGATGGGGGACAACAGTCTTGTTGTTTCCTCAGACAATACTTCAGCGATGGTGGGTAGAATCTCAGAGTGAAGGGGGTGAAGAGGACAAGGAAGTTGGAGAATGCATGCCAGAAGAAAGTGGGTAGTAAGGACCAGTGGTTTATCTGGTTTGTCTTCAGGTCGGGCTTATATTCCCAAACAAGAGGCCAGCATGGTATGTCTGCCTCCCTGGTCATTTTCTCCATGTTGGTCTGTGTCGAGTTGAAGCAAAAAAGTCTGTTGCAAGGAACCTGACAACTGTCTCCTTATATATTGCAGAGGTGGGGCTTTGGGAGGCAGGTCTTAACACTAGAAGTCCCAGAGAAGGGTCATTTAACATTTCTACCTTTGGAACCCAGAGACGGGTCGAGTGACCTGAAGGATTTTAGCTAACATCCTATAATGAGCTGTTAATAGGCGCTTTTGTTTTGTAAATAAGGCCATTACTGGTGCACCACAGGAGGGGGCAAGCTTAACTCCCAACTAACTGTTTTCCATTGAGTTTAGCCATTTAGTTTCTAGTTAGTTATATTAGTTCAGTTTATTGTATTTTATAATATGAAGATTTTTTATATATATATTGGTGGCACGTTGTTGCACATTTTGAACAAATTGAAGTCGATTTACCGTTTATTTTTCAATTGGTTTGGCTCATTTCTTGAAACCGAGATGACATTCTCAAAACACCATGTGAAACACAACTCAAGAGACTTTGCATTTTGAGGTTACTGACAATTTGTATGAAACACATATTTTGTTTTGATATATATAGTATTTAGCTTATTTTTTAGCAAAAAAGCACAGACCATAAGCAATTGTGTGTAAGTCAAGAGGACTAAAACTTCAGCATGAGAAATATAAAAAACAACAACCGTTATTTGTTTCCATGCTTTTTATTTTTGTCATAAAAATACAAGGGATAAAACAATTCTACACATATTTACACTATGCTCTAGTGGGGGGGCTGCGTGTGTGTGAGTGGCATGTCCTCCTTGTGTGACTGGCATTTCAGCACTCACTCAGCAGTCCATCTGCACTGTCGAAACATACCTGGCACTGCCAGGGTATGTCCCTAGTACATTTGCCACATGTGTATTTGTAGCAGTTGACGCATCTCACAGTTGCACAATTGTTCGTGCATCGATGTTTGATCTGACACTTTGCCCTTTTGCCAGGGCTGGGTGTGGAAGGTTGTTGCTGAAGCAGTTTCTCCTTGCGTGCCTTCTTCTTACAATTAATTTGGTTATTTTTTTCTAAACTGTCATTTTGAACCCACTTCTCTTTTTTCTGAAAGAAAAACATTACTAAAATCTTTTAGAAAAACTTTTGCATATATCTTGAAACAGATTGTATGTTTTGCAAACTTTTGTTTTGTTTTGTTCATTTGGCAAAATGACCTGGATAATGCATCTCTCCCAAAACACTTCATGTATGCTTCAAAACAAAATATGTGTTTCATACAAATTGTCAGTAACCTCAAAATGCAAAGTCTTTTGAGTTGTGTTTCACATGGTGTTTTGAGAATGTCATCTCGGTTTCAAGAAATGAGCCAAACCAATTGAAAAATAAACGGTAAATGACTTCAATTTGTTCAAAATGTGCACCAACGTGCCACCAAGAGATATAAGTTCAAAATATAACCAGTTGATTTCGCATCTGTTTGGAGTATTAGACGGACGTTTGTGTGAGTTCAGCTTATCTCTCCCCTGCTGATTCCTAAGGCAATGGCCACATTTACAAATGAAAGGATGCTAATTGGAGCCATCAGAGTTGTCCGGTTTGGAGCACTACTTTGACCAAGGCTGCGCTTTTTTGCGCAAGTGAACCTGGCTTCTAAATCCCCCGCTCCCTGGATTGGACATTGGAATGCAGTCTGGTGAGGTGGGTGTGTCTGAGTTACTTGTGTGCATATTTAAAACAAATGGCAGTTAATGGCCCGCAAATTGTTGAGGAGAAGTAGGGGGTTTGTCCTCAGGATCTTGAAAATCTAGTCACTCTTGTGCTAAGGGTCTTTTGACCCTTTTTCAGGACTTCTGTGGGGAGGTCGAAATTCCTGGGACTTCTAGTGTTAAAAGGTTAGTTTTTTTCACAGCCAGAATGTTGGCCCAGCACCTGCAGCTGTGGAAAAGTGTGAAGGTTTGCTCACAGATAACGTCCAATTTTTGTGCCAAAGCATTGACCATGAAAGCCAATAATATTCTGAATACACTGCAGTCAGCTATCACAGACTTCAGAACACAGATGTTTGAGGGAATCTTGTGGTTGGACTTGCGTATGCTTGCCTGAAAAGACCAGTGACTGGTCAGACTCTCTTTACTCTACCAGATTGCTATAAAAGGAAGCCTTTTCTCTGCAATTTCCACTTGAGATATAAAAGGTCCCCTTTTGACTCATTTTGCAATAGTTGGTGAGCTTTAATTTTCTCCCCAGCTTAGGAAAGATTTGGCGGTGTAAGTATTGTGTGGTATTGCCAATCTGAGAACTGTCCAAACATATGTTAGCGCTCCTACGGGAGTTAAAGGCGTCAGATTCTCATTTTCACCCAGCTGACACAAACTAAGCTCACCTCTCTCATAGTTGAACACGTTTCCCCACGCACCGCAGAATCCGTACATTTCTAAAGACCCCTCCTGGAGCGACAAATCAGGTGGAAGGAGTTGTGTTCTACACAGGCAAAACATGGTTCTCCAGGGAGCATCTGCAGCTTGGTCTGAATACTGGTTGATCAATACAGGGGTCTCGCAGACTACAGAGGTATTCTTTGCCACAAAGTTTCCATGCTGTTTATCCAGAGTTGTCCAAGTTGAGCCATCTGCAAATATTGTAGACAATCCTTCAGTGACCACTACAGAAGGTTTTTTAGTTAAAGTTGATTACGAGTCAGCAGTTGATGGTCCTTGAGCAAGGTTTTCATCCTGACTCCGACAACCAGTTGCCTCCACATTTTAACACTTGAATCTCTTTACTCTAACCATGTTTGATCAGGTCATTAAGAGCAAATGATAACGTAATGATGTATTAACATTTAAACGATGAAAAATCCCATTCTTTTTCTGATTGTTTTACGAATATGTGTGTGTCTGTGTATGTGTGGGGTGGGTAGTGGCTAAGAGCAGATACAGGATGCATGTTACTCCGACTAAGTAAGGCCTTTCATTGATCCAGGAACCTGTTGATTTTCCATTTAGCTGTGGGATGGCAGAACAAAAGATGAAAGTCTCTCAGATATGAGAAAGACCTTTTATTATTCCAACTGCCATAGCTCTTTCCCATATATCGACTCAGACACTTGATCAGACCAGTAAAGGAATATTTTTTGTATATGCGGGAACACATAATAAGATAACCTTTAAAGTCATTCTTGAATAAAGTAGAGCAATTCTGCTACATACCAGGGAAATGATAATTAGATGACCTATGGGGTCATTCCCATGACCTTTGTGGCCATTCTTGATTAACATCTTTCAAATCCAGGTTTGATGCAGAGTGTTGCATTATTTCTCTGAATGTGTTTGAAGAGGGGAAAATAGATATTTCATGTCTAGTTTGTAAATTAATATCCTGCACAAATCTACCATCAGCTTGCCTCTGCTAACTTAGGGTTACGTAAACATTTGTAAATCAATAACATTTCTTACATCTTTAGACGATTGGTTTTTAATTTTCATGATTCATTCAGCAAAATAAAATATGGTTCCCTTCATGTAGAAGCACTCACACAGAAAGGCCAAGACTCAAACCTGGGACCTTCTTGCTTTGAGACAACAGGTTTGAACACTAATCCAAGGACAGATTTGCATTGGTAATTTTTCTTTAATGTTATAAACAGGGGATTGTGTTTAAAGCGTAAACCCATTAATGTTCTGTGGCAAGGCTGAGAATAGGACACGGGTGGCTATTCCGCCTGATGAATGTGAAAACAAGTTATGGTTGAATGTTGAAGGCGTGGAAAAAAGGTTTAAAAATTAATTTTAAAGAAATTATTGGGGGAAAATTAGAATCCATGTATGGAATGAGAGTGTTACATGAATTCCATGTGTTATAAATATGAATATACCATTTCCATTTTTGCACAATGTTGCCAATTGGCAACACACCCCAAAATGCACCTAAATATTTTTGAGATTTTTTTTTTTAATATGTTCATATTAGGTTTAAAATGTTTATGCAGTGGATGGTAAACTTAAATACTGTCTTCCACCTCTTCTTTATTTGAACATTCAAACTAACAACTAATATCCTAAACTAAAGCTGAGAAAGCAAACATTTCCAGCTGATTTGTTGCAATAAGGATGGATGGTCTACTGTTGACACCATAAGAAGACTACACACCTGTGTAGGTATTACTGTATCCAGAAAGTTGCTCATTGTTTCCATAGTTTCTGGTTGAGAGGTGATGTTCCAGGTTTCTCCACTACCATGGCTGGGAATGCTGGTCTGCCTGACGATTGACTGCTGGTCCGTTTCACTTTCAAACATCACAAGAGCATTCTCTGAAACATGAGATGTGGAAAAAATACATCACTGAACTTTATCAACATTAAGGCTTATTGTGTAGGTACCTTTATTCGGCATTGTAAATTCATTGTCAGAGCTTCTACTAGCCAAAAGCAATTTGGATTAGATGAGGAAAAAGGGGAAAATTGAATATTCAGTATTCTTTTCAAGTATCTAGACAGCACATCTCTGTCAACAATGACCTCATTAACTCTAATATGATTTACACTGACCAAAGATATCTCTGACCTCTCTTTAGATTTCCAGGCAGGGGGCTCGAAGAAAGACTCTCCAAACACTCACCTTGCCACGTACACAAAGAAAATCACTGTGTGCACAGGTTTCATGACAGATAGTTCAGTACAGACTCACTGAGGTCAGCAAGAAGGACATTAATTATTTACCCTTTAGGGAAGGGGGGTCACAAGAGGCTAAGGGAAAAGGAGCAAGAATGAGAATTGGCAGGGAGGAAGGGAGAAACATCAGCAGAATAGAAGTTTTAACAAATTTCAAAGAAGTGTATAATGTCTTAAAAAGTAGATGAATCACTCTAATATGAAATAAACTTTAATTAACCTAAACATCATCATTGTCCTAGTGGACACAGTTGTATAACTTTTAAATTTGTAACCCTAATTTCCTAAGTTTTAATAACACTAATTATGTGCATGCCAATTATTGATATGCACTCTATTTTTAGTCATTATTTGAATTAACATTAGAAGAGAAATAAATATGATGTGTCTGATAGTTTATAAATCTACTGTACCAGTGAAATTTATGTCTATTCATTTAGACTTTTGTTTTATTTCAGCAGTAACATACTGTTTGTTTATTATTAGTTTGATTACTATTATACTAGTACTATTAGTTTTTTATGCTTTTAGTGCTTAGTGTATTTTTATTATATTTTTTCTTAGTTCATATCTTAGATCTTATTGCTGTTTATTCTTTTACATTTCAATACTTTTGTTGGATGTAACTGGGACCTTGTGACGAATAAAGAACTTTGAATCCTTGAATCCTATTTATGCTAAGATACATAAAGCATTGTAAATTTTTGGAGAAAGCCACTCCATCTATAAATGCATGTTGGTAACTGTAAATTATTTAACAAAATAAAAGCCCCTCACAAAGTAAAGTGTAAGACTAGAAATAAAGTTCCTGGTTTTCTGTTAATAGAATTTAAAGCTGTTTATACAGTATAATTAAAATGGGCTTTGAATTTGGTTTTGGTTCCTTTTGTTCTACTGTTAAATGTTTAAAATTACATTTTTGTTTTCTACTTGATATATTTAGGTTCTTATTAAATGCTTTAATAAACAGTGATTTAAATTTAAAATTTAAAAGTGATTGTTTTATTCCTCTTTCAAAACTAGTCTTTTGGTGCGGAGCTCTTGATGTGAGAGCCGGCCCTCCTCAGCTGCGGCTCCCTGCTGCTCTGCCCCTTGGGCTGGGGCCGGCCTGTGGTCGCTGTCAGGTAGATGGTGCATGCAGTCGGCCCAACAGAGATTCTGTCGGGCTATCTGTCTGTGCCTGTTGGTTGCTCAGGTTGGGTTTTTGGTGGTCCCCCCTCTCTTGGATCAATTTGGGCCACACGTTTGGTGTGGGGCCCACTCCCCCCGGTCGTGCCCCCCTTTGGCGGGGGACCCCCTTGCCGCCGGTGCATTGATGGCTCTCTGTGTCTGGGCTGGGTGGTGGGGTGCACGTCGGTCCGCCCTGGTTGCTGCCTGGCGGGGCCTGGGTGCCCTGGCTCTGTCGGGGCTCTGCTTGGGGGTGGTATGGCTTCGGGGCTTGGGGCTCGGTGTCCATGGCCGGATCTACCTGGGGGGGGCATGGGTCGCCGGCCGGACCTGTGGGCTCGTCGATGCAGCTTCCTGGAGGCTCTGCATTATGGTGGCTGGGGTCACCCGGTTCTTTCCTCTGCTCCTCTCTGGGGGGGTGCGGTTCTCCCTGTTGGGAGACTCTTGGGGCTCCGGGCCTGTGGGCCGCTGTGTGTCTGTGGCTCCGGTCCTCCCTATGTTGCCATTGTGTCCTGGGGGGGCTGGTCTGTGGGCCCCCGCGTCCACTATTGGGCATTCGTTTGGAGAAATCTGGTGGTGGCGGGCGTGCTTGCGCGGGTGTTTGGATTCAGGTGATTTGACAGATGCACGCTAGGTTGGGTAGTGGTGGAAGCTAGATGATTCCTTGTGCGATGTCGAATGTTTTATGGTGATATTGTGGGTGGCATTGTGCTGTGCATGTTGTTTTGTCGTGGTGGTCTCTCGTCTTATCTATTTCTCTTTTATTATTTATTTATTCTTCTTTCTTCTCTTTCTTAAAAAAAAAAAAAAATTGAGCGATGATGATAAGTTCATTGAAACACTTCACAATGTTTCTACACTTAAACTGAGCTAAAAAAAAAAACTAGTCTTTTTATGTTTTGTTATGTATATATTGATTGATATAATGGTTGTAAATGATAGACAACATTTATACAGCATCATAGATACAAATGCATTTCTAACATTTTGGGTTCATAGATGGGAAGGCTCAGCATGACCTGCTCCCAATTTTTAAACCATGTCTGACAAAGTCATGTCTTGCGCATGTGTCAAACAAGGCCAGAGGTTGATGACATCTTATCTGGTCCCCAGGATGATATTTTAAAAGTGACATATTTTTACTGCTTCTCGTTTTGCTTAAAAACTGAGCATAATTTATTTGATGATGCTTTCTCATGACGGTTGGTCAACTTTAAAGCTTTGAAGTTAGTTTGAATTTATCAGCATTTTTTTAATGTAAAAAGAGTGACAGAGAATGTCAAATAAGAGTGATCAAACTCCTGTTGAGGAAAATAACCCTGAAAAGATGTCAGGTATTTGACTGAAGTTAACGTATTGACTGAAACTGGCCCTTGGTTCGAAAAAGGTTTTTAATTCTGGCCCCTTTCATAACTTAAGTTGGCACCCCTGCAGAAATAATATATTAAAAATATATGGTTTTTTTTTGTTTGTTTGTTTTTTAGTTTTCCTGACCAATTAAATATTGGTTCTATGAATGTACTTGAAAAATGATCAGATTTGTTTGTTTTTAGATTTTGTACACTACTTCTTGGTGACAACTGTTAGAAATATTTAGAGTACATGTCCCATCAGTATTGGGAGGTTTTATTCTTTACTTAATGTTGTGTCAGTACTTGTACTTGAGTGAATAATAACTGCAGCAGCTAACAAAAAAGAAAAAACTTAAAAGGCAAGTACAGTATATTACTTCAGTGGTGAGAATGTGATTCAATCCATCAAATGGACGTTGCGCAGCTAAATCATAGCAGTCCATAGAATCGTTATAGGACACTTTCTGTCACATGGTGGTATTTTTCTTCCTTTATCACATGAGCCTTTAGAGTCTTCCTAATAGAATGACTGTGGGTGGCACCATCAAATGTAGCTCAAATAATATTAAGTCAATAAATAAATAAATAAAATAAAAACCATTTCATAATACTGATTATTATTATTATTTTTTTTACAATATCATGTTGCATGGGTGGAACAGTGGCACTGTTGGTAGAGCTGCCGCCTCTCAGTGAGCGGTTCGCCATTTTAAATCCCAGCCCAGGACCTTTCAAGGTGGAGTTTGCATGTTCTCTCCGTGCATGCGTGGGTTTTCTTCGGGTACTCCGATTTCCTCCCACAGACCAAAAACATGCATGTTAGACTGATTGGTAACTCTAAATTGTCCATAGGTGTGAGTGAGAGAGTGAATGGTTGTTTGTCTCTATATGTCCCTGTGATGGATTGGAGACCTGTCCTAGGTGTCCCCCACCTCTCACACAGTGACTGCTGGATATGGGCACCAGTGACCCCCACAACCCAAAAAGGAAGAAGCGGGTAAAGATAATGGATGGATGGATCATGTTGCATTTCTTTAAAAAAAAAAAAACTGTAAAGTAGGCATCTTTTTCTAAATACATTTCAATATTTAGTAAATACAATAAATGGTATAACTGTACATCAGGGCTATTCAGCTGCTGGTCCGGGGGCCACATTTGGCTTAATCCAGCGAGTTAATTTAAGCTCAAAATAAATAATGAATCAGACAATAAATAAAGAAAAAGTTACAAAGTAAGCCCAGGCCCTGATGGGTAAAAAGCTGGTTAGTAAAATAAGAGGAATATTGAAAAAAATGAATATAAATATATTGCTGATTCTTTAAATAGTTCCTGTTTAGTCATTGTGTAACCAAATAAAATATGTTTAACCTATAAATTAAATGCGACAGCGTTACAGATTTATTTTATATCTGTGTTAAGTGTCAGATTAGATAGTTGTAGCTACAATGAAATGTGGATAAGAATATACTGAATAAATTAATTTTGTCCAACAACTTTTTTTTAGTGTAATTGCATTTCATCAGGACCTTTCCATGAGGCATCTTGCATCTATTTGATGTTCGAAAAATACACAATAACCTCACTTTCCGTATGATTTACTAAGATGAAAATGTGTGAGCTTTTAGGTGGCTTTACTAAGTAAAGTATGTGAGTGGGATACTATTAATAAAAAGGAAGCATGTCAGCATGTAAATGGGAGATAAAGAACCCGCTGTTAATGCTGCAAAAAAACACAGAATGTCTGATTTAAATACATTTCGCTCTGCTTCTGTAGGAGCATGCTGAGAAACATCTGTCTGACTAAACACAGACGGCTCTGTCCTATCACTGTTGCCAGCCATGAAGCTCACTTTGGTTTTCACATTAGGTTTGTTTGAATAGCTCCTGTTACCGCTTATCAATGCAAATTATTCTGATTAGTAAATACAGTTTTGTGTTTCATTTGAATGTAAATGCTCTGCTGTGCCAGCAGTGAATTTAAATGAAATAAAACCTTAGAAATCATTGTGAGTCACAACTTGCTCTCTATTTTTTCTTGTTTATTAGTCTTAAAGCGTCTGTGTGCTTATGCTCAGCTGTCAGGTGTATCAGTACTGCAGCATATGAAGCATAAATGCAATAAAGACCTTCAAGTTTCCCCATTTTTCAGTCTGGTTTACAATAATAATAATAATAATAATAATAATAATAATAATAATAAAAACATTTCCCAGAAAAGTGCCACTATAAACATCTATAAAAGCAAAGTCCTAATATTGTCTTACCCTGTATTCACATATGCGCTCTGGTTCAACTGATTTCAGGGTTGCAAGCACATGTGTGATAATAGTTTATATGAGACTCAACGTTAAAATGAATAACTGTCCATAGTTGTGTCCTTGGAGTCGAGTGAGCTCTATTTATTAATGCTTAATGGTGGCTGTCATGCTTCTGGTCTAGTTTTCTTGTAAAGACACTTGTACAACGTAAAGTTCAGGTTTATTTAACCAAACGTATAAGCACAAAAAATTGTTCCATTAATGTAGAAAAATGGTAAAAGTTGGAAAATGTATTGTATTCAGGTTGTCCACCATGTAGCACAGATATTTATCTACCATATTTTTCGGCCTATAGATCACAGTTTTTTTGCATAATTTACATGCTCTGTGACTTATACACCGAAACGACATTGATGTTTTCCCCCCATAATTATAAACCAATTTTTACTGAGAGATGACCGTTTTCATTCATTTTGACATTGAAAATATTGAACACTACCATTTTCAGCCGCTAGATGACACTCGAGTAGTATGGCATGCCGTTGTGTCATGTAATAGGTAAAAGTGGCTATTAATTACAAAATTGGCTTGCCATACAATGCCACCTTCGTCCAGCTCCGGGATCATGCCTGGAGCAACCGTCAAATCAGCTTCATTTCGCTGCGCCACCCCGGCAAAATGCAGCTAATTTGACCATTGAAGTGCATTTATTGTCAAAGTTCAACTGAGACACACATTTACTATAAAGGCGAGCAAACAAATAATTGTTTTTAGGTGGTTATTTTGTTAATTTTCAAAGAAATGCACAGCGAGTTGTCCCTCTGCGCGCTCCAGCTTCCGCGTATTGGCATTTGAAATGCATCTGATTTGACCGTTAAAATCCTTTTGTTAAGGAAAAGTTAAACTGAGACACACCTATGCTATAATTTTGAGCAAACAAATAATTGTTTTTAAGTGTTAATCTTGTTCAATTCTTGTTAAAGTCCTTCCATGCACGCTCCCGCAGCCGCCATTTGGCAGACAATCGATTTTTGGCACAAAACTGGCCCACATCTCTGGGATGTCATCGCTGACGCGTAACAAATGCGACGCGTCAGCAGTGAAGCATAATAGATATGACGTATACGACGAAGCTACGTATTTATGTTTTTTCCACTTTATTAGACATATTTGGATTGATGCGACTTATAGGGTGGTGTGACGTGTACGGCAGAAAATACGGTACATGATAGATTAATTTCTCTGAGCATTCATGATGAGTGCTCAATCCAACTCACCCATTAACTCACCCATTATTCATACTAAGGCTTTAGAATTGCCCCACTCTGGTTGTAGAGTAAAGGGAAGTTTGTGAAAGAAGATCTTCAACAGCTGCAGAAATGTAGATTCTGCAGTTTTTTATTACTAAGAACATCAGGTCCCATGAAAGTTCCTAATGATTGGGTGATTTTCAGTTTGAATTAAATTCAGTTATTTTTATTTGTTGGACTCCACAACAAAATTCATATTCTCGTATCATATCGGGGAGTGGTGGAGCAGAGGTTAGAAGAAGGGCCTGTGATCGGAAAGTCGCAGGTTCAACTCCCGGTACCGTCAACATCAAAATGTGGGTGGAAAAGGTGGAACACTCAAACCTCCCTCTACCCTCATTCGCCTCACTCTGGGCCCCTGAGCAAGGCCCTTAACCCCTGCTCCCTAAACAGGTCTTTCTTGGAAATTAGTTCCTGAGGCTCAGTGACACTACCTGTATAAATAAAGGGTAAATGAAAAATTAAAAAAAAAAAAATTATATACATATATAAT